TGCTGACAAAGTATCTGACAAAAGTCCACATTCATTCATGATAAAAACTCTCAACAAAATGGACATAGAGGGTACATACATCACATAATAAAAGCCATCAACAAATCCACAGCTAACATACTCAATGGCAAAAAACTGAAAGCTTTTCCTCTAAGATCAGGAACAAGACAAGGATGTCCACTCTCCCCACTTTCATTCAATATACTACTGGAGATCCCAGGCATGGCAATCAGACAACACAAAGAGACTAAAGCCATCCAAGTCGGTAAGTAAGAAGTTGAACTGTACTATTTGCAGATGACATGATATTATACGTAGAAAACCCTAAAGACTCCAACCAAAAAACTATTAGAACTAATAGCAGGATTCAGCAAAGCTGCAGGATACAAAATAAATACAAAAATCTGTTGCATTCCTACAATACTAACAACAAACTAGCAGAAAGAGAAATAAGTAAAACAAGTCCATTTACAATTGCATCAAAAAGAATAAAATACATAGGAAAATAAACCTAACCAAGGAGATGAAAGACCTCTGAAAATTGTAAGATACTCATAAGAGAAATTAAAAGGGGGATAAAAGGGCACAAAAATTTTCGATCATAATATAAGTTGGTCACAGGGATGGTAGTACAGCATGCAGATTACAACCGATGATTCTATAACATCTTCTTATTTTGACAGATAGTAATTGCACTAGTGGGGGTAAGGGTTTAATAATATGGGTCACTGTTCAACCACTGTGTTATATACTTAACACCAATGTAAGATTGTGTATCAATGATACTTCAATACAAAATATTAAAATTAAAAGTGAAAAAAATTGAATCATGATGTACACCTGAAACTAATAGTATATTAAAAGTTAATTATACTTCAATAAAAAAGAAGTCACCCAATCAAAAAAAGAATTGAAATTATCCAGCATCATGTATCTTACTGGCCTGATATAACAACATGACACTACTTCTGATAAATATATTTTTAAAGTAAAATGAAGTCCTGTTAGTGAAAAGAAACTTACACTATAGCATTATAGACCACAAAATTGGCTAACACAGTGGTGAAAACAACAATTTGAAAACATTCAAAAGTTGTTTGGCAAAGGCAGAAACAAAGATAACACAGCAGCTCAAGGCTCTTTTGGTGTTCAAACTGCAAAAGAAAGGTTGGACAGCCAGAATCTATTTAAAGTTTTGACAACTAAAAACATTAAGGATTGGTGAACTCCACTTGATGCTTCCCTCCTAGAGTTCTGTATTTCAATCAACCACGAATGAATGAATACACCATGAGGAAATATCTGTTTGAGAGCAAACCCCACACACTGCATCTCAATGAACTCAAAACTTAGGGACCCAAAAAGTAGAAATTCATAAAATAAGGAAGAAAGCTTTGAACTTCAGGTATAAGGATTAAACCTCTCAAAGGACCTGGAGCAAAGCTGGAATCACCTCTTGTAAGTACATAAAAAATCACATACCTAGCAAAAGAAAGTGCTTTAGATGAAGAATCCAACGTTTCTGGATCGTGAAGGAAACGCTGGCTTTGCCCAAAATCTAAACTACAATGTGATAATACTGGTGGACAGTCTTCTTCCAGAGGGTCATGATTCATTCTTCCAGCCTGTGGAGAAAGCTGAGCTTCCCCAGACTCAGAGTCCTCCTGCCAAGACTTAAACGCAGGAAATGGCTCTGTAACACAAACACAAAACATAGTACTATGGGTCTCTTGGTTCCACATGGAACCAAGTCACACAATTATCAGCTATATGTTCTTTAAATCATATCATTATGTAGTGGCTCATACAGTATTTACTAAATTTAAAAAAACAAGGGATATAGGATCTTCATAAAAGCTACTGTAGTTTAAATTTGTCTAAGCTTCACTTTTTAGCCCAGGGTTCTATTTTCACATAAGGAGTTAGACCTTAAATTTCTGAACAGTCACAAAGTAAGAAGGACACTGTCAAGCTCTTTAAAATTGTATTAAATGTTATTTTTAAGTAGGGGAAAGTTTTCATTTAAACAGTAAACATTCATCAGTCCTTACCGGGAATTTAAGTTAGCCAGATGCTACCAGGTGAATAAATTGTCTGTCAAGTGGCTGTGTTAAGAAGTGGAAGCCACTCCCTATGGTATACAGAACACTCACCAAATGGAGCTCCCTGGCTCCCAAAGAATTCTAACATTTCCAAACAAGTAGCTAACTCACCTGACAGCACCTGGCCTCTAACATTAAACTACTGTGTTTATTTTCTATTTACAGGATTCCTATGTATAACAACATTCTAATAATTAAACACCCAACAGTATTACCAAGGCAAAACGTAATAGCACTAGTCCTTCTTAAGCACATTTATTTTATTGGAGTTATCCTGTATGTTCTCAAATGAAACCATGTTTGATGTTATATGCTGTCTTTGCACATATAAGGTTTGATTACATACAGACCACATATAGATAAACACAAAATCCACAAATATACTCCAAATACAAAATTAACTTCAAGTATTACTTAACAGGGGGAAGCAGCAGGGGGGTATGATACTTTTCTGTTTGCACATTAACTTAATTCAAAACCACAATTTAAAACTTTGATGCTATGGCTACTAATGTAAAAATGAGTTTTTTAAGTATTTTTGGATGCAAAGATGGCTTGACAGTGTCAAAAATCAAGAATGATGTTTTCTTTTTCTTCACACAATAACTAAGGGTTAATACTTTAGTAATTAGTTGAACTTTATGCATTAGCAATTTAAAGCATTACCTTTCTTCCCCAGGTAATAAAAACATAACTTATTTATTTTTTAAGGCCCAAATTAATCTGATAACTAAAAATTGGATACAAAGCGTGCAATCCCACAATAAACCCAGCAATAAAGTGATTTTTCAAAGCAACCCTTGTACCTGCTTCCCAGCAAATAAGTAACTGGTAATAAACATTTTCCGAAAAATCTCCTGTTTTAAGAAAAGAGTAAAGTAACGAATGATTTTTTTCTGGGTATCATTTTTAACCCAGAAAAGTCTCCCTAATACATGGGGACAGCAGGAGAAGGGCTAATAAAAAGGCAAACAAAGTGAATCATAAAAAGGCAAAAAAACTAAACTATGGTGAACCATACTTACCCTCCCCATCTCTCTGCAGATGCATTGTTTTGAAATCAATGAGGGGAAAAGTGATAGGGCATGACGCTAATAAAATGGAAAAAATGGCAAAAAATACTAAAGTGAACACACAGCACAGTCAGAACAAACCATACACATAACTAACACAAAGCCAAAGATACCAAAAACATTTCCCTAAAACCAGTTAGGCATTCTGCTCAAAGGCTTTATTCAAAGGATTACTTACTACTAACCAAACTTTAAAAACAAACATAAACATAGCTTTCCGTTTCAACAAGCAAGGCAAAAAATCAAAGTAGTGCTGTTTTATTAAAACCCAAACATAAAAATGAAGGAAAGTAAACCAGGTACAGTTTGAAGCTTTTCAGTATAATTGGTTTGACAGGAAAGATCTTCCTTTGTTTGCTCTTTGAAAAAATCCTATCATATTTCTTTCAAGAGTCAGCAGGAGAGAATCTGAAGGAAAGATGTTGTCCACTTCCATTAAAAGCCAAGACCTTTGGAACGGCTGCTACAAATGCATGCTGGTGGCAGACATGCACTACCTGCCTGCTAACTGCATCCTGTTGTCTCTCCTTTGAGCAATATAAAAACAAAGCCCAGATACTTCAGAGAGAGAGGCAGGCCTCTATTTGAAGTCTCCCACTTCTCTGCGTTGTATCAAACAAGGTACGTCTCTGACTCAAAAGTATCAAAGGTATAAAGTAATTTAGTCTCTGAAGGAAAACTTTTACTTAGAATATCCTAACTCCTAGACGTAGAGAATCAGCCATTGTATTGTGGCAAAGTTGGAAGGAACAACATGGCCTGCTAGCAGCCACTCTTCCAAGCATATACAGGGTTCACAGCTGAGAAGCTCTCTGGGATGTCCACTTCACCGGCTCTCTGAAAGTCACTGACCCCTATTCCTGGAGGAGTCAGCGGGAGGCCCACGTGAACTTGTCACGGCAACCGAGCCAGGTGGGTTAACAGGGAGCTCACACGCTGAAATCATAATATAAGTTGGTCACAGGGATGGTAGTACAGCATGCAGATTACAACCGATGATTCTATAACATCTTCTTATTTTGACAGATAGTAATTGCACTAGTGGGGGTAAGGGTTTAATAATATGGGTCACTGTTCAACCACTGTGTTATATACTTAACACCAATGTAAGATTGTATATCAATGATACTTCAATACAAAATATTAAAATTAAAAGTGAAAAAAATTGAATCATGATGTACACCTGAAACTAATAGTATATTAAAAGTTAATTATACTTCAATAAAAAAGAAGTCACCCAATCAAAAAAAGAATTGAAATTATCCAGCATCATGTATCTTACTGGCCTGATATAACAACATGACACTACTTCTGATAAATATATTTTTAAAGTAAAATGAAGTCCTGTTAGTGAAAAGAAACTTACACTATAGCATTATAGACCACAAAATTGGCTAACACAGTGGTGAAAACAACAATTTGAAAACATTCAAAAGTTGTTTGGCAAAGGCAGAAACAAAGATAACACAGCAGCTCAAGGCTCTTTTGGTGTTCAAACTGCAAAAGAAAGGTTGGACAGCCAGAATCTATTTAAAGTTTTGACAACTAAAAACATTAAGGATTGGTGAACTCCACTTGATGCTTCCCTCCTAGAGTTCTGTATTTCAATCAACCACGAATGAATGAATACACCATGAGGAAATATCTGTTTGAGAGCAAACCCCACACACTGCATCTCAATGAACTCAAAACTTAGGGACCCAAAAAGTAGAAATTCATAAAATAAGGAAGAAAGCTTTGAACTTCAGGTATAAGGATTAAACCTCTCAAAGGACCTGGAGCAAAGCTGGAATCACCTCTTGTAAGTACATAAAAAATCACATACCTAGCAAAAGAAAGTGCTTTAGATGAAGAATCCAACGTTTCTGGATCGTGAAGGAAACGCTGGCTTTGCCCAAAATCTAAACTACAATGTGATAATACTGGTGGACAGTCTTCTTCCAGAGGGTCATGATTCATTCTTCCAGCCTGTGGAGAAAGCTGAGCTTCCCCAGACTCAGAGTCCTCCTGCCAAGACTTAAACGCAGGAAATGGCTCTGTAACACAAACACAAAACATAGTACTATGGGTCTCTTGGTTCCACATGGAACCAAGTCACACAATTATCAGCTATATGTTCTTTAAATCATATCATTATGTAGTGGCTCATACAGTATTTACTAAATTTAAAAAAACAAGGGATATAGGATCTTCATAAAAGCTACTGTAGTTTAAATTTGTCTAAGCTTCACTTTTTAGCCCAGGGTTCTATTTTCACATAAGGAGTTAGACCTTAAATTTCTGAACAGTCACAAAGTAAGAAGGACACTGTCAAGCTCTTTAAAATTGTATTAAATGTTATTTTTAAGTAGGGGAAAGTTTTCATTTAAACAGTAAACATTCATCAGTCCTTACCGGGAATTTAAGTTAGCCAGATGCTACCAGGTGAATAAATTGTCTGTCAAGTGGCTGTGTTAAGAAGTGGAAGCCACTCCCTATGGTATACAGAACACTCACCAAATGGAGCTCCCTGGCTCCCAAAGAATTCTAACATTTCCAAACAAGTAGCTAACTCACCTGACAGCACCTGGCCTCTAACATTAAACTACTGTGTTTATTTTCTATTTACAGGATTCCTATGTATAACAACATTCTAATAATTAAACACCCAACAGTATTACCAAGGCAAAACGTAATAGCACTAGTCCTTCTTAAGCACATTTATTTTATTGGAGTTATCCTGTATGTTCTCAAATGAAACCATGTTTGATGTTATATGCTGTCTTTGCACATATAAGGTTTGATTACATACAGACCACATATAGATAAACACAAAATCCACAAATATACTCCAAATACAAAATTAACTTCAAGTATTACTTAACAGGGGGAAGCAGCAGGGGGGTATGATACTTTTCTGTTTGCACATTAACTTAATTCAAAACCACAATTTAAAACTTTGATGCTATGGCTACTAATGTAAAAATGAGTTTTTTAAGTATTTTTGGATGCAAAGATGGCTTGACAGTGTCAAAAATCAAGAATGATGTTTTCTTTTTCTTCACACAATAACTAAGGGTTAATACTTTAGTAATTAGTTGAACTTTATGCATTAGCAATTTAAAGCATTACCTTTCTTCCCCAGGTAATAAAAACATAACTTATTTATTTTTTAAGGCCCAAATTAATCTGATAACTAAAAATTGGATACAAAGCGTGCAATCCCACAATAAACCCAGCAATAAAGTGATTTTTCAAAGCAACCCTTGTACCTGCTTCCCAGCAAATAAGTAACTGGTAATAAACATTTTCCGAAAAATCTCCTGTTTTAAGAAAAGAGTAAAGTAACGAATGATTTTTTTCTGGGTATCATTTTTAACCCAGAAAAGTCTCCCTAATACATGGGGACAGCAGGAGAAGGGCTAATAAAAAGGCAAACAAAGTGAATCATAAAAAGGCAAAAAAACTAAACTATGGTGAACCATACTTACCCTCCCCATCTCTCTGCAGATGCATTGTTTTGAAATCAATGAGGGGAAAAGTGATAGGGCATGACGCTAATAAAATGGAAAAAATGGCAAAAAATACTAAAGTGAACACACAGCACAGTCAGAACAAACCATACACATAACTAACACAAAGCCAAAGATACCAAAAACATTTCCCTAAAACCAGTTAGGCATTCTGCTCAAAGGCTTTATTCAAAGGATTACTTACTACTAACCAAACTTTAAAAACAAACATAAACATAGCTTTCCGTTTCAACAAGCAAGGCAAAAAATCAAAGTAGTGCTGTTTTATTAAAACCCAAACATAAAAATGAAGGAAAGTAAACCAGGTACAGTTTGAAGCTTTTCAGTATAATTGGTTTGACAGGAAAGATCTTCCTTTGTTTGCTCTTTGAAAAAATCCTATCATATTTCTTTCAAGAGTCAGCAGGAGAGAATCTGAAGGAAAGATGTTGTCCACTTCCATTAAAAGCCAAGACCTTTGGAACGGCTGCTACAAATGCATGCTGGTGGCAGACATGCACTACCTGCCTGCTAACTGCATCCTGTTGTCTCTCCTTTGAGCAATATAAAAACAAAGCCCAGATACTTCAGAGAGAGAGGCAGGCCTCTATTTGAAGTCTCCCACTTCTCTGCGTTGTATCAAACAAGGTACGTCTCTGACTCAAAAGTATCAAAGGTATAAAGTAATTTAGTCTCTGAAGGAAAACTTTTACTTAGAATATCCTAACTCCTAGACGTAGAGAATCAGCCATTGTATTGTGGCAAAGTTGGAAGGAACAACATGGCCTGCTAGCAGCCACTCTTCCAAGTATATACAGGGTTCACAGCTGAGAAGCTCTCTGGGATGTCCACTTCACCGGCTCTCTGAAAGTCACTGACCCCTATTCCTGGAGGAGTCAGCGGGAGGCCCACGTGAACTTGTCACGGCAACCGAGCCAGGTGGGTTAACAGGGAGCTCACACGCTGAAAAGCAGGGATCAGCAGTCTATAGTTACCTCCACTCCCTACCACAAGATGTCAGGGGTGGATTCCTCCAGGGGAACTAAAGTGTGCCTGACATGAGGTTCTCTTTGGGGAAGCCTCCAGGAAGCTGAGCTGAACAGAGAATGTCCTGTCTCCTCAGACAATGAAAAACAATTATTCTTTATGCTTAAAAATTAAGATCAAGACCCCAGGCCAAAGATTACTAAGGCTATTTATCTGCATCCTCCAAGAGGAAGAAGCATAAATCCTTTCTCAGAATCCCAACCTCATCTTTAGAGATTCTTTTCCTACTACTGCTCCAGTCATGCTCTGTTGACCACCACTCCTCTTCTGTGGCTCTGCCAGGATACAAGACTAAAAGGGACATTTACTCTTTACTGCCACTGGCATGCTAACATATTTCCTAATTTGGAGGAGCCTTCATTAATTCCAAATGTCCTGAATAACCCAGAACAAAGCAAATGAAAAACAATTTACTGATTTAGTCTAACACACACAATATACCACTGGGCATGTCAAACATCTAAACCCAAAAAAAAAAAAAGAAAGGTGGAGTGGAAAGAAAGCAGTAAAGACTGGCACAAACAATGGCTTGGTTGGGGCTTTGAAAAAATCAGCTGTACCTTAAAAATAAAATAAAAATACTCCAACTGTGATCAGGTAAGCAGACCTGAGATGGCAAAAGGAGCCCATGGTCGTGGCATTGCCATTTCTCATTTCTGGCCACCATGAGTCATCAGCTAACGTGCCAAAGGTGAAACAACCAAGGGATCTTCATCCAAGTGAATAAGTATATAACACTGTCTAAGATTCCTGAATTGTCTCACTGTCTCTTTACCTAGAAAGGTGTATGATACAGAAGAATTCCTGGATCCAAATTGGTTGCTTGCTTCCACTCCCTCACCCCCAATATTTTATTTGGAAGTTGACACAAATACACAGCAAAGTTGAAAGAATTTTACAATGAACATTTATACCAATCACCTAGATTTGACCATTAACATTTTACTATACCTGCTTTATAACATTTCTCTATCCCACTAACCATCTTATTTTTTTCATGGACTTCAAAGTAAACTGCAGGTATTGGAACACTCCCACATAACCACTTCAGTATGCAAATCATTCACTGGAATACACTATCTATTTAGTTTTTGCTTCTTTTGATTAAGAGAAAAACATATAATGAAATTCAAGTCTTAAATATACATTTGCTGAGTTCTGACAAATACATATACCCACATAGCTTACTTTTTAAAATTAAATTTAAATTTCTCTCCTTTGAAAAACTATTAGGACCCCACTCAAACCTTCACAACCTAACAGAGATATGAGGGATATGGGTACACTATTTACCCAGAAATGCCCTACAAGAGCCCTAAAAAAAAAAAAGAAAAAATGTATTCCTAATAATCATAAATAAAAGGCAGTCATAGATAAGCTCTCTGCGTAGTGGTGAGAACCCCCAAGCCCTAACACACTGGACTTTCAAAGAATGTGAAATAGCACCTGATTTAACAATTAACTAAATCTTACCCTGGGTATTTTCTTTTTTTTTAATCAGTTCTAACATTTATCTTCAAAGCAAATGGATCAGGTAAGAACTTCTAGTTTGTACAAGATAGTTGCCCCATAATCTCATTAGTGCATTTGAATAAAAACACTCACTTGCTCCTCTTATATGAGAGAACAGAAAATCAAAATGAGTAAGATTGTCCAGAAAAGTAGTCTCTTCAATGCTTTGGATAATTTCAGTTATAAATAATATTACCAGGAAAATAATGTGTGGGGGTAAAAATTACCTTCCCATTTATCACCATCTGAAACATTCTTCAGATCTAAATGTGGAATTTGGACATATGCTGCCTCCCCTTGAACACCAACACTTTGACCTCCTGGCACTTCTGATTCAGTGTTGGCATTCAAATCGCATATCTTGCTACTAGAATCCTGTATTTTAAAATAAAGAATACATTTTACAACCATGAAGCTTTTCATGCCCAGCTTAAAGCAACCAGTACATACCCTTGTGCTGTCTTTATTAGTTTGTTGTATCTATACAGCCAGCCGTTCCCACTCCCACCATCCAAACTATTTTCAAATGTAAATTAGCAGTGTTATAATACGAATTACTGAGAAAAAACAAAGTTAGGAACCCAAAGTGGGAAATTAAAGTTGCTGCTTAACTATAAAATATTTGGTAAGAGAAGAATCTATATTTAAATCTCCTTTAAGCCTACCCAAGAGGTAAATAGCCAGATATAATAATTGGTAGATTAAATCTAGTCAATTTTTTAGAACCATAAGAGAAAAATAATTCTTACCTGAATTATGTGTGACAATTTATCACTGTCAAATGACAAATGTTCTTTCCTAAAAATACAAGTGAAGTTATTGTTAGTCTTTGAAGAATAAACAGATTACTATCACTGCAGGTTTCTTAGATTCCTCTCTTCCCCAAAGAGTTAGCATATACAGTGTGAGAGAAGAAAATGACAATAGGACATACACCATTCTTTGGAGCCCTATATCTGAAAATCACACACTACTGAAAAGATCCACAGAATCACTTCAGGTTTAGAAAAATAAAGTAACATTCACCACTCTCCCATACAACCACCCCAAAAAAGAAAAAACATTTTAGAAGGAAAAATAAAATCCACAATAAATAGAAACCAAAAGGACTGAATATATAATGGAAAAGATTTGTAAAATAAATATTGGTTTTAACCAAATAGCTTTCTATTCTTCCCCACTGTGGGGCATTATTTTTTTTATTTTAAAGAAGACTTCTTAAAGATATAACTATATTTTAAATCTCACTGTGTTCTATTACAATCAAAACAAGGTTACTACTTCCGAATCTCCTTCCTCAAAATATAACAGTAACATGTAAAAAGGAAACATTTTTTAATTTCAACTCATCGCTTATTCCCCCATAAAAGCTAACCTCTATTTAGAACAAATGTTACAGCAAGCTGTCACAAATGATCTCAACCTATATGACCCGTCAACAGAGCATTACTAGTATCACAGTGGGTTATGCTTACTGCGAGAAAGTTCTCCCACCAAGACATGTGGCAATACAACAACAAAGGTGCTGCTTCCACCCTGCCGCAACAGAGGTCTTAAGACAGGTCTTAAGCTAACATGGTAAGTCAGCCCCTCATATACATAACTACCTTATTCTTGGCTAAGCATGAAAAATTGCCCTGATGCACTCAAAGGCTTTCCTTTGCTTAGAGTGGGAGCAAATGGTAGGATAAGTTAAATTCTATCCCTAACAGACTAGAAGGCCTCATCATCTAAATGTGAGAAACATGAGTGTTAAACATGCAAAATCTAATCCACCTAACCAAGGAACTCTTTGGATCTAAAAATAAGTTTGCTAACCTATATACAAGTTGAAGAGGAAAGCTGATATTGAGTCAAAATGATTGAGTCCTCACTAAATGGATCCTTATTGTTCTACCAAATCCAGATGTCATCATTCTGGGGATGCCTGTTAATGTTGTTAATCTTATATCTTCAGCCCATAGCTCCAATACTCCCTGGGCTGGAAGAGGACCATTCCTGCCTCCTGAAAGGAAGCACAAGGAACTGCTGTAAGCAGGACATCTGTGGACCTTCAGAGTATGGGGACACTCCAGAGACATGGCTCCAAAGAATTTACTTACCCTCAAAAGGCATGTTTCCTACTCATAATCAAATGAGACAATGGCATTAACACAAGTTCACCCTTGCCAAAAGGCTATCACCAAATTTGTAATGCTGTTTGGGATTTCTCAGAATTTACACTCTAGTCTAGAACTTCATTACCGATGTGTTTTCAGAATATCAATCATTTTTCCTAAAAAAGCGGTAATAATCTTGGCAATGTCTTAAAGAATCATAAAAAGGTAAGACCCTAAACCTGCCCAGTGACTTAAAACATTCTAGAAAACTTCTGTTTAAAGAGACTCATCTATCAGGTATCTCCAGAGACCACATATGGCTTCAACACTCATTGCCTTAGGAGGTATCCCCCTCCCATTACTGCCGGCCAAAACGGTAAACAAGCACCAACTACATGAGCCTGTCCTGGGGCACACCAAGGAGAAGTTTGAAAAAAAGGAAAAATATCCTGTACATATCTGTTGAAGTAAATACGTTACAATCTTTCAATTAGCTAACCAGAGTTGAAAAACTATGAATCAACTCACTGAAAGGTGTATTCAGAATATCACTAAATTCCCAACTGTTCTACAAATCAAAAGAAAGTTTTAAGCGAGTGTTCCAAGAAGGCTGTGCCCTTCCCTCTGAATGTTGTCCAAGGTGTAACTAATCTCTGTCTGAACCTGCACTCTCAACCCCGAATATTTATGGACAGTTAATATATTTGATGTTTACCATTAAAACAAGAAGCTTGGCTTTTTAGATAATCTAAATGTATGTTATAATGGATTCATCTAAAAATTTCACCCCAAAATCTATGAATAGCTCCAGTTTTCAAAATGATTAATTAACAAGAGAAAATGCTTACCTCTCAAGACAGCCATCTTCACAATCACCACGGTCACTGCATGGCTCTAACAGTATACCTACAGACTGACAAAAAGAACACCACTGCTTGATAAAGTTCCCAAACTCCTATGTGAGAGGAAGTTTCCAATCTAAATCAAGATATTAGCTTACAAGTTAGTCAAATGCTCCTTTTTAATTACTACTTATAATAGTCTGCAGTGTTGGCACTTCTTTAAACCGAAACGAATTTACCTTCCTCAAAACCTGAGTTGCATGTGGGTAAAATGAAGATGCTGCATTTCTTGCTACCCTCTTGGGTGGTAGGTGCTGCCACTACTCAGATTCCTTCTCCTTCCTTAGAATTCTCTCCTCCAAAAATGACAGTCTTGCGCTCCCACTTGTCAACTGTTGTTTCTCTTACTGACCTCCAAGCAGGCAACAGAGGCCCGGAGTTCATCAGATCCCTTTATTATTACAAATATTTGAAACAACTGTGAACCTCAAAAACACATGATAAAGAACATTCAACCCATTTTCTAACGTGCTTAGTGACAGCATCCCATCCCTACCAAGTCTGATACAAATGTGTACTGAATTACTATAAACTATGTAAACTTTTTAGTGTTTCTGATTATCACCTTTGAAAATCAAGAAAAAGATCAATTCTTCATACAAAACTACCACTTGTTCAGTTCTGTTTAATAAGAAAGATTGTCCATAATTTTTTGAAAGAAGCTATTAAAATATTTTTCCCTTTTCCAACTACATATCTCTGTGAGGCTGAACTGTCTTCATATACTTCAAACAAAAGGAACTATAGCAACAGACTGAATGTGGAAGCATATATGAGAATCCAGCTGATTTCTTCATATTAAGTCAGACAGGCAATAACAATATTTGTAAATATGTAGAACAATGCCACTCCTCAAAATAAATTTTTTAAAGTCTATTAAAGTTTTAGTGAATCTATTAAAAATTTATGAAGAAAAAAATCTTACTTGTTACCTTGATTGAGTCTATTACTGTTATGTTTAAGTGAATAAACTTTATCAGTTTGAATTTCTAATATAGCAAAAAACTGTTACACTTATGCAGTCAAAAAGCATTTTGGGTTCCTCAATAATTTTTAAGAATATCAAGAGGTCCTGAGACCCAAAATGTCTGAACTAGAAATTAGACTTCAACAACTTCTATGCTCTGGAATACAGCTTTAGATTCTTAAATATTAAGGTTTCTAAACATATAAAATAACCATTACCCAGACCCAATATTTAAAAATAAATCTTAGTGTTTTACTCAAAGAATTCAAGTCTCAGCTCTAACATCCTCATCACAAGTATCAAAATAACCATTTACTTGCCTATCTTTCAGTTATTTTGAGAGAATCTAAGAAGTAGCTTACAAGAAAACCTAGAAAGCTCTATTATAAAAACATGTTATTATATCAACTCTTACTTAATACGCAATTCTTTTTACTATGAAATAACTGAAACAAAGTATAAAGACTGATAGAGTCAATAGCCACGTACCCTCTAGCCAGGTGCAGGCAACCTAATTCTAAAATAAACAGTGAAAAGTAGTAAACAAAAAGGCAACTATAGAGGCAATATAAAAGACAGACATGGTGACAGAAGACAAAGACGACAGTCCAGCAGTGAAGAATGTAGATGAAATTTAGAGTCAGGAATGGAACTTGTGCTCTTTATTATGTCCCAGGACAAAGAAAATTAAGAACTATTAAAGTTATAATATGGCCACACTTCAATTATATGGTACCGTCTTTAGAAACTAAAATGTATTTCATCACTTACAGCAATTTTACTTCCTCAGAATTAATTCTAGATAAAACATTTACTCCTTTGTGTAAGGGTAGAGAATACCAGCTAGCAAAATAGTCTATTCATTCTGCCCTCCCTTCTCCACAAACATCAGGGTCCTCAAAAGTAGGTTTAAGGCACTCTGATCTCAATCCAGGTAAGACAAAGAGGTGCGGTGGTGGTGGTGGTGGAGGAAATGGCAGCAGTCATGGGAGCAGCAGACACAGCACAGTCACACTGCCAATGTCTTAGGGACTGTCAGGGCTTACTGCTAGGCGCTAATTAAAGCTTGATGGGCATTTCCAGTAATTCCTCTGGTCTCCATCCCTTCCTCAGCCATCCATAATCGGTGCTTCCACACTGCTTAGTTCTGCATCTTCCCAATCCACCCATCTAGTTGTGCTCAAGCATGCTAGTTATAACAGACTAAATATCTCCCACGCCATTCTGCACATCTTATTTGCTTAGCAGATCCTTACTAAATAGAATATAAATATACTTCAATCTAGCCACACTGGCTAATCAACAATCACTGGGGAACTAGGGTCTAACTAGCAGCATCTAGTACTCTTTAGTTTACCTGAAATGTTAAAAAGGTGTCTTTCGGTTGTCTTTCTATCTCAAGTCTATTTCAGAGAAATTATCTTCAGAATGTTTTTTTGTAACTAAACTCTTAACCTCTTTACAATACTCCTGCCTGGGGGTTAGCCAACTCTTACCAAATCCGGCCCACTGCCAGTTTTTTTAATGGTCAATAAGCTAAGAATGATGGTGACTCTACCTACTCAATTTGATACTCATTCCCCAACCCTTAATAACTGTCTTCTGCGTCAAAATCCACTACCTTGCCAAAGCTCCCCTTGCTTTACCAATAATAATTTCTATCCCTAAATTCAGTGAATTTTCTTTAATTGAAATTAATTTTTTGTTTAAATTATTTGATTAAAAATCAACAGAAACAGAAACCTAAATGTGAAAGAGTATGAAGAAAAGTAAAGTCACTCATAATCCTATCAGCCAGAGATAGCCAGTGTAAATATTTGATTTCATTTTTTCTGAGACTTCTATGTGTTACTACCACACAAACTGGGAATGCATTAGTGCTAGCAATCTACACTTGGGAGTTTTTCATTATAACGCTACATCATGACTACTATTCAGGCCTTTAAAACGTCATTTTGGTGGCTCAACAATTCCCCATTACATGGATATAACTTGACCATCTCCCAAGTTAATGAAAATTTTTAATGCTTTCCATTTTTTCTACTGCAAATAAACCCCCAGTAAGAATTCTAGTAAGACAATCTATGCATGTGTCTCTGAACTGTGTGTATTTTCTTATGACACCGTCCTAGATTTTGACANGCATTTGAATAAAAACACTCACTTGCTCCTCTTATATGAGAGAACAGAAAATCAAAATGAGTAAGATTGTCCAGAAAAGTAGTCTCTTCAATGCTTTGGATAATTTCAGTTATAAATAATATTACCAGGAAAATAATGTGTGGGGGTAAAAATTACCTTCCCATTTATCACCATCTGAAACATTCTTCAGATCTAAATGTGGAATTTGGACATATGCTGCCTCCCCTTGAACACCAACACTTTGACCTCCTGGCACTTCTGATTCAGTGTTGGCATTCAAATCGCATATCTTGCTACTAGAATCCTGTATTTTAAAATAAAGAATACATTTTACAACCATGAAGCTTTTCATGCCCAGCTTAAAGCAACCAGTACATACCCTTGTGCTGTCTTTATTAGTTTGTTGTATCTATACAGCCAGCCGTTCCCACTCCCACCATCCAAACTATTTTCAAATGTAAATTAGCAGTGTTATAATACGAATTACTGAGAAAAAACAAAGTTAGGAACCCAAAGTGGGAAATTAAAGTTGCTGCTTAACTATAAAATATTTGGTAAGAGAAGAATCTATATTTAAATCTCCTTTAAGCCTACCCAAGAGGTAAATAGCCAGATATAATAATTGGTAGATTAAATCTAGTCAATTTTTTAGAACCATAAGAGAAAAATAATTCTTACCTGAATTATGTGTGACAATTTATCACTGTCAAATGACAAATGTTCTTTCCTAAAAATACAAGTGAAGTTATTGTTAGTCTTTGAAGAATAAACAGATTACTATCACTGCAGGTTTCTTAGATTCCTCTCTTCCCCAAAGAGTTAGCATATACAGTGTGAGAGAAGAAAATGACAATAGGACATACACCATTCTTTGGAGCCCTATATCTGAAAATCACACACTACTGAAAAGATCCACAGAATCACTTCAGGTTTAGAAAAATAAAGTAACATTCACCACTCTCCCATACAACCACCCCAAAAAAGAAAAAACATTTTAGAAGGAAAAATAAAATCCACAATAAATAGAAACCAAAAGGACTGAATATATAATGGAAAAGATTTGTAAAATAAATATTGGTTTTAACCAAATAGCTTTCTATTCTTCCCCACTGTGGGGCATTATTTTTTTTATTTTAAAGAAGACTTCTTAAAGATATAACTATATTTTAAATCTCACTGTGTTCTATTACAATCAAAACAAGGTTACTACTTCCGAATCTCCTTCCTCAAAATATAACAGTAACATGTAAAAAGGAAACATTTTTTAATTTCAACTCATCGCTTATTCCCCCATAAAAGCTAACCTCTATTTAGAACAAATGTTACAGCAAGCTGTCACAAATGATCTCAACCTATATGACCCGTCAACAGAGCATTACTAGTATTACAGTGGGTTATGCTTACTGTGAGAAAGTTCTCCCACCAAGACATGTGGCAATACAACAACAAAGGTGCTGCTTCCACCCTGCCGCAACAGAGGTCTTAAGACAGGTCTTAATCTAACATGGTAAGTCAGCCCCTCATATACATAACTACCTTATTCTTGGCTAAGCATGAAAAATTGCCCTGATGCACTCAAAGGCTTTCCTTTGCTTAGGGTGGGAGCAAATGGTAGGATAAGTTAAATTCTATCCCTAACAGACTAGAAGGCCTCATCATCTAAATGTGAGAAACATGAGTGTTAAACATGCAAAATCTAATCCACCTAACCAAGGAACTCTTTGGATCTAAAAATAAGTTTGCTAACCTATATACAAGTTGAAGAGGAAAGCTGATATTGAGTCAAAATGATTGAGTCCTCACTAAATGGATCCTTATTGTTCTACCAAATCCAGATGTCATCATTCTGGGGATGCCTGTTAATGTTGTTAATCTTATATCTTCAGCCCATAGCTCCAATACTCCCTGGGCTGGAAGAGGACCATTCCTGCCTCCTGAAAGGAAGCACAAGGAACTGCTGTAAGCAGGACATCTGTGGACCTTCAGAGTATGGGGACACTCCAGAGACATGGCTCCAAAGAATTTACTTACCCTCAAAAGGCATGTTTCCTACTCATAATCAAATGAGACAATGGCATTAACACAAGTTCACCCTTGCCAAAAGGCTATCACCAAATTTGTAATGCTGTTTGGGATTTCTCAGAATTTACACTCTAGTCTAGAACTTCATTACCGATGTGTTTTCAGAATATCAATCATTTTTCCTAAAAAAGCGGTAATAATCTTGGCAATGTCTTAAAGAATCATAAAAAGGTAAGACCCTAAACCTGCCCAGTGACTTAAAACATTCTAGAAAACTTCTGTTTAAAGAGACTCATCTATCAGGTATCTCCAGAGACCACATATGGCTTCAACACTCATTGCCTTAGGAGGTATCCCCCTCCCATTACTGCCGGCCAAAACGGTAAACAAGCACCAACTACATGAGCCTGTCCTGGGGCACACCAAGGAGAAGTTTGAAAAAAAGGAAAAATATCCTGTACATATCTGTTGAAGTAAATACGTTACAATCTTTCAATTAGCTAACCAGAGTTGAAAAACTATGAATCAACTCACTGAAAGGTGTATTCAGAATATCACTAAATTCCCAACTGTTCTACAAATCAAAAGAAAGTTTTAAGCGAGTGTTCCAAGAAGGCTGTGCCCTTCCCTCTGAATGTTGTCCAAGGTGTAACTAATCTCTGTCTGAACCTGCACTCTCAACCCCGAATATTTATGGACAGTTAATATATTTGATGTTTACCATTAAAACAAGAAGCTTGGCTTTTTAGATAATCTAAATGTATGTTATAATGGATTCATCTAAAAATTTCACCCCAAAATCTATGAATAGCTCCAGTTTTCAAAATGATTAATTAACAAGAGAAAATGCTTACCTCTCAAGACAGCCATCTTCACAATCACCACGGTCACTGCATGGCTCTAACAGTATACCTACAGACTGACAAAAAGAACACCACTGCTTGATAAAGTTCCCAAACTCCTATGTGAGAGGAAGTTTCCAATCTAAATCAAGATATTAGCTTACAAGTTAGTCAAATGCTCCTTTTTAATTACTACTTATAATAGTCTGCAGTGTTGGCACTTCTTTAAACCGAAACGAATTTACCTTCCTCAAAACCTGAGTTGCATGTGGGTAAAATGAAGATGCTGCATTTCTTGCTACCCTCTTGGGTGGTAGGTGCTGCCACTACTCAGATTCCTTCTCCTTCCTTAGAATTCTCTCCTCCAAAAATGACAGTCTTGCGCTCCCACTTGTCAACTGTTGTTTCTCTTACTGACCTCCAAGCAGGCAACAGAGGCCCGGAGTTCATCAGATCCCTTTATTATTACAAATATTTGAAACAACTGTGAACCTCAAAAACACATGATAAAGAACATTCAACCCATTTTCTAACGTGCTTAGTGACAGCATCCCATCCCTACCAAGTCTGATACAAATGTGTACTGAATTACTATAAACTATGTAAACTTTTTAGTGTTTCTGATTATCACCTTTGAAAATCAAGAAAAAGATCAATTCTTCATACAAAACTACCACTTGTTCAGTTCTGTTTAATAAGAAAGATTGTCCATAATTTTTTGAAAGAAGCTATTAAAATATTTTTCCCTTTTCCAACTACATATCTCTGTGAGGCTGAACTGTCTTCATATACTTCAAACAAAAGGAACTATAGCAACAGACTGAATGTGGAAGCATATATGAGAATCCAGCTGATTTCTTCATATTAAGTCAGACAGGCAATAACAATATTTGTAAATATGTAGAACAATGCCACTCCTCAAAATAAATTTTTTAAAGTCTATTAAAGTTTTAGTGAATCTATTAAAAATTTATGAAGAAAAAAATCTTACTTGTTACCTTGATTGAGTCTATTACTGTTATGTTTAAGTGAATAAACTTTATCAGTTTGAATTTCTAATATAGCAAAAAACTGTTACACTTATGCAGTCAAAAAGCATTTTGGGTTCCTCAATAATTTTTAAGAATATCAAGAGGTCCTGAGACCCAAAATGTCTGAACTAGAAATTAGACTTCAACAACTTCTATGCTCTGGAATACAGCTTTAGATTCTTAAATATTAAGGTTTCTAAACATATAAAATAACCATTACCCAGACCCAATATTTAAAAATAAATCTTAGTGTTTTACTCAAAGAATTCAAGTCTCAGCTCTAACATCCTCATCACAAGTATCAAAATAACCATTTACTTGCCTATCTTTCAGTTATTTTGAGAGAATCTAAGAAGTAGCTTACAAGAAAACCTAGAAAGCTCTATTATAAAAACATGTTATTATATCAACTCTTACTTAATACGCAATTCTTTTTACTATGAAATAACTGAAACAAAGTATAAAGACTGATAGAGTCAATAGCCACGTACCCTCTAGCCAGGTGCAGGCAACCTAATTCTAAAATAAACAGTGAAAAGTAGTAAACAAAAAGGCAACTATAGAGGCAATATAAAAGACAGACATGGTGACAGAAGACAAAGACGACAGTCCAGCAGTGAAGAATGTAGATGAAATTTAGAGTCAGGAATGGAACTTGTGCTCTTTATTATGTCCCAGGACAAAGAAAATTAAGAACTATTAAAGTTATAATATGGCCACACTTCAATTATATGGTACCGTCTTTAGAAACTAAAATGTATTTCATCACTTACAGCAATTTTACTTCCTCAGAATTAATTCTAGATAAAACATTTACTCCTTTGTGTAAGGGTAGAGAATACCAGCTAGCAAAATAGTCTATTCATTCTGCCCTCCCTTCTCCACAAACATCAGGGTCCTCAAAAGTAGGTTTAAGGCACTCTGATCTCAATCCAGGTAAGACAAAGAGGTGCGGTGGTGGTGGTGGTGGAGGAAATGGCAGCAGTCATGGGAGCAGCAGACACAGCACAGTCACACTGCCAATGTCTTAGGGACTGTCAGGGCTTACTGCTAGGCGCTAATTAAAGCTTGATGGGCATTTCCAGTAATTCCTCTGGTCTCCATCCCTTCCTCAGCCATCCATAATCGGTGCTTCCACACTGCTTAGTTCTGCATCTTCCCAATCCACCCATCTAGTTGTGCTCAAGCATGCTAGTTATAACAGACTAAATATCTCCCACGCCATTCTGCACATCTTATTTGCTTAGCAGATCCTTACTAAATAGAATATAAATATACTTCAATCTAGCCACACTGGCTAATCAACAATCACTGGGGAACTAGGGTCTAACTAGCAGCATCTAGTACTCTTTAGTTTACCTGAAATGTTAAAAAGGTGTCTTTCGGTTGTCTTTCTATCTCAAGTCTATTTCAGAGAAATTATCTTCAGAATGTTTTTTTGTAACTAAACTCTTAACCTCTTTACAATACTCCTGCCTGGGGGTTAGCCAACTCTTACCAAATCCGGCCCACTGCCAGTTTTTTTAATGGTCAATAAGCTAAGAATGATGGTGACTCTACCTACTCAATTTGATACTCATTCCCCAACCCTTAATAACTGTCTTCTGCGTCAAAATCCACTACCTTGCCAAAGCTCCCCTTGCTTTACCAATAATAATTTCTATCCCTAAATTCAGTGAATTTTCTTTAATTGAAATTAATTTTTTGTTTAAATTATTTGATTAAAAATCAACAGAAACAGAAACCTAAATGTGAAAGAGTATGAAGAAAAGTAAAGTCACTCATAATCCTATCAGCCAGAGATAGCCAGTGTAAATATTTGATTTCATTTTTTCTGAGACTTCTATGTGTTACTACCACACAAACTGGGAATGCATTAGTGCTAGCAATCTACACTTGGGAGTTTTTCATTATAACGCTACATCATGACTACTATTCAGGCCTTTAAAACGTCATTTTGGTGGCTCAACAATTCCCCATTACATGGATATAACTTGACCATCTCCCAAGTTAATGAAAATTTTTAATGCTTTCCATTTTTTCTACTGCAAATAAACCCCCAGTAAGAATTCTAGTAAGACAATCTATGCATGTGTCTCTGAACTGTGTGTATTTTCTTATGACACCGTCCTAGATTTTGACATTTCTAAGCAAAGCTTTTAAAGTCTTTTCTTCTTATTGTCAACATGTTTTCCAAGAATTCTGTAGCAGTTTAAATTCCCAGTGTCTGTGTACAAGACTGCCTATTTCAGTTTACCCTCATGAGCAGGAAACACATTGTTCCTGGATTCTGCTGTTGTTCAACAGGGAGGCAAAGGTTGGGGGTGAGGAGGAGCAGCAAAGGGGGGACTTTAACCTCAACAGCAAGCAGGTACATGAAAATTACACTTACTCTTGCTACTGTTTTATTTCTACACATCTGCCTCCCATCATTTAACTATTTTGACATAATTTCAGACTTAGGGAAAAAAAACACTTTTTGACATTACTAGTTTTTATGGCCATGGCTGCTTTCTCCTCCAAAGTCATAGAATATAAACATTTTCCAAAGTTCCCCTCAATCCACTTTTCCTCTTATTCAAACCTAAATGTAAAAGAGTATATGAAGAAAAAAGTAAAATCACCATAACTTTTTTGGCAATTCCATTCACTCACAGCCAAAACAAGCTCCCACCACCAGACACAGCTCAGAACCCAAATTTCTGCTATTACATGCACCAATAGCCTACTGATGCAAAACTGCATTTTCTACTCTCCTAGCACCTATCTTTCATATGCAACCTTTTGACTAATAAATCATTTTCACCTGTGGAATTTTAACCTCCCTCCCTTTCTTTGTGCCACTAGTTCAGTTTATTAGCTCTCAACAAATCTAGAGCAAAAGCCTACTAACTGCTGTCCTTGCATCTCATCTTCCCTTCAGTTTATTTCATACAGTTCTATTGCAACAGCCTTCTTCCTAAAACACGGATCTGATTATATATTCCCTTTGTTCCAAATTTTTCTATAATTTCCTCTACTGAGAAAATTCACAATACCTAAAATAGTTTTCCAGCCTTTATGCATGACTGAAATCTACTAAAGTTTCCAGAATTACCTTCCACAACATATCCTCCCACAATGCTCTAAACACTGTGACTAGTGCTGCATCGCTAACATCCAATGTTTCCCTGTGACTTTTACTTAGACTGCTCCCTTAGTCTCTTCCACAAATCCCTAAGAAAATCAACCCACTAAAAATGCCAAGTCCAAAATCCTCCTCCCTCCAAGGAGTCCTCCATAATTTCCTGGCCAGAAATTTTTTCCTTTCTTCTGTAAAACTATAGTGCTTCATTTCTACCTCTAACAGCATTAGTGATATGTTGTATTACAAACTGTGTTCATTTGCGATCTAGATTATCAAATCAATGAAAACTTAAATCTGGTGTTTTTCTATTTATACATCCAAGTAACCACGTATTACACATTGCATTAAGTAAACACATGCTGAATGGAAGTGACTTACTCAAATAATAAAGAGAGTATCAGCCTACATCTTAGCCAACTTACTTCTTAAGACCAACAAATCATCCATAAAGGTTCCTACAATCAATTTTAAAAAGGATTCTGGACCACAATGGAATATGGAATTAAACAAGATATCAGTTAACAGAAAGCTAACTGGAAAATCCAAAAATACATGGAGATTAAACAACACATTCAAGTAACACATGGATCAAAGAATAAACTGCATTTAAAAATATTTTGAACCAAATAAAAACACAATTTATCAAAATTTGTAGAATACAATGAAACAGTACTTAGGGGGAGATTTATAGCACTGAATGCATATATTAGAAAAGAAGAAAGATATAAAATCTATAATCTTAATTTCCATTTCAGGAAACTAGAAAAATAAGAAAAATAAACTAAGAAAATAAGAAAAATAAGGAGATGAAGGAAACAATAATTAGAACAGTAATCAATGAAATTGAAAACAGGAAATCAAAAGAGAAAAATCAACAAAACCCAAAGCTGCTTCTTTGAAAAGATCAATAAAATTGGTA